AGCGACTGCGCCAACTGCCGCAGCCCCCGCGAGCCACACACCAGGTCCCACTGCGGGGGGGACACGGCACGGGCTGGGATCGGGGCCAGGGGGGTCCCCTCCGCCCCACCGACCCCCCACAACCGGCCGTGGTGGCCCCTCAGGTCAACCGTTGGCCAGCGGGAAGGTGCCACCAAACACTCGGCCACCAAACTCTCAGTCACCCTTCCCATGGGTGGAAGAGGAAGAGGAAGAGATGAGGAGGAAGAAGAAGGTGTGAGAAGGAGGAGGAAGACAAGGAGAAGGAGAAGGAGAAGAAGGAGAAGGAGAAGGAGAAGGAGAAGGAGGAGGAGAAGGAGAAGGAGAAGGAGAAGGAGAAGAAGGAGAAGGAGGAGAAGGAGAAGGAGAAGGAGAAGGAGAAGGAGAAGAAGGAGAAGGAGAAGGAGAAGGAGAAGGTCCCCTGACCCCTTGTGACCCCCTTGCTGGTGGCCACAGAACCCCCCACCCCCTCCTTTCTCCCCCCGGGTTCACGGCGTCGAGAAGATGCTCCAGTTGGGAGGAGCCAACGCCGCTGCGGCACCGAACCCTCCGCCGGCGCCTCCGGGTGGGATCCACGCATGGGAGCAGCTCTGATGGGCCACCAAACCCCCTCCCCGGTGCCCCCTGCCCACCTCCCTCCCTCCTCCCACCTCGGTGACGATGGTGCTGGTGAAGACGCTGCGGTCGTAGATCCAACCGTCGCGGCACGGCTCCGTCTCCGGCCACGTGCCGTTGGGGGCCGAGGCGTTGGGGGCCTCCAGGAGCCACCACTGGGGCTCCACGAAGCGCCGGCACCGCTCGCCGGGGGGCACCCAGACCCTCAGCAAGGCCTCGGGGGCCGGGCCGGTGCCGTTGGGCTCCTCCCGGCGCAGGCGGCACCGGTGGTCGCTGGTGGCGGCGGTGAAGTTCTGGAGGAGGTTGTGGCTGGCCATCATGAACAGCGGCAGGGACAGGAGCACCACCGACAGCACCTGGAAGCGCCCCATGCCCCCCACGCGCTCCAGGAGGTCGGCGAACGCCATCCCGGCACCGCCGGAGCCGCCGGAGCCCGGCGGGGCCCCCCGGCCATGCAGAGCCCCCAAATCTCAGGGGTTTCGCCCCGAAAACGTGATCCTCTTCCACATGGTGCCCTCGCTCCGCCGGCACCCCGGGGTGGGGGGTGGTCTCCTATATAACCCCTCCTGCCGGCGCTCGGGGTTAATGGTTGACCCTCCCCCTCCCGCCGGGGGGTTTTTTTGGGGGTTTTCCAGGAAAAGGCGAAAGGGCAGCGACAAAAACAAGAAAAAAAAAAAAAAAAAAAAGGGGGGGAAAAAAAAAAAAAAAAGGAGACAAAAATCCCCCCCAAAACGGAACGAAACCAGAGCGAAACCGCGGCGATTCGGGGCAGAATCGAAGAAATTGTTAGTTCATTTCCTTAATTTTTGTTTTTCCTTAATTATTTTGTTGTTGTTGTTGGTTTTTTGAGGGGGAAAGGCAGGTTCTGGAGGGGGGGTCACCCAGCAGTGACCTCCTCCTCCTCCGGCCCGCTCGTCTCCCGGCCCCGGGTCCAACGCCCGCCCTGGGCCAGCAACTTTGGGTTAAATTTTAGCAATTTGGGTGCTCGGGGGGGGCCCCGAAGGCGCTGCCCGAGGCGGCCCCGGCTGGGTCAGCGCATTCCCCAACGGGGGGTTAATTTTTGATGGGGTCCAACCCCCCCCCCGGGGGAGGTCGATGGGGCCAAGGGACACGTCGGCGACGGGAGCAAGGGCCGGGGGGGAAATCGGGGAAGGGGCATCGCCGGGGGGTGGGATTTGGGGGCGGGGTGGGATTTGGGGGCGGGGTGGGATTTGGGGGCTCCTGGTGCTCCCAGAGTTGCTCTGGGGGTTTGGGGGATCCCTCTGGGGGGGGTTGGGGTTGTTGGAGATGGCCTCCAATGGGGTGGGCTTGGGTGTCACCTGGTTGGAGGTGACCTCGGGGATGAGGTTCTGGGGCGTCGTCCCGTTGGGGGTGACCTCCAAAAAAGGGGTTCTTGGGTGCCACCCGGTTGGAGGCGACCTCGGGGACACCGACCTGGGCATCGTCCCGTTGGGGGTGACCTCGGGGACGAGGTTCTGGGGTGTCATTTTGTGGGGGTGGCCTCCAAAAAAGGGGTTCTTGGGTGCCACCGGATCGGAGGCGACCTTGGGGACACGGTTCTGTCCCCTCGGAGGTGACCTCGGAGGTGGTTGTTGGGTGTCACCCTGTCAGAGGTGGCCCTGGGGGGGCTCAGAGACGACCCCGAGACGTGTCCCCCCACCAGAGCTGTTTATTCCTCCCCCGACGTCCCCTCCCCACCGGGGGGGTCCCCAAAACCGCGGCCGAGTCCCCCCCGGCCCCACCAAGCTTTGGGGACCCCCGGGGTGGCGGGTGCTGGTCAGGCCCCCCCGGGGTCCCTCAGGCCTCCTTCTGGGGGGGCGTGTCCTGGGGTTGGAGGGCGATCTTCTCCTTGGGGTCACCCGCCGGCTTCCGCTTGGCCCTGGGGGAGAAAGAGGAGGAGGAGGAGGAGGAGGAGGAGGGTCATGGCAGGGGGGAAGGCCCCGTCCATGTGAGTCCATCCTCCTGTCCCACAACGCGTCCGGGTGTCCCTTCCCCGGGAACTCTTTGTCTTTGTCCATCATCAGCTGTCATCCAACCATCCATCAGCCAGCTATCCATGGTCCATCATCAACCGTCATCCAGACATTGCCTGTTCCTCACACAACCCAACCAACCATCCAACA